ATACAACATCCATTATGTTTATATGTATGGATTTAGATTAGTTGTTAGGTTAGGATTTCTGTAGAGTAGAAATTGTCTTTTGTAAATGAAATTTTTTATTATTCATTTATACAGTCGAACCTGCTCTAATGGACATCTGTCTAAGACAATCACCTGTACAAATGAACATTTCCCATTTTCCCCTGTGCACTTTTTTTTCTTCTGATATTATAATGACACCGTCCAAGACATCCACCTGTCTGAGACAACCACTATTCTCATCGACATTGCGTGGCCATCTTTGACAATTTCTTCGGTGTCTCTTTATAAGGTTAGGCTCCAGTTTAATATTTTGCCCTTGTGTTCAGATGGCACATCGGTGTGAGCTGTGTGGGTGGTTGGCGGATGCTCTGGTGTGGTTTGCCCCTTCTTTCCTATCAAACATCTATCATCCTTATCTCTCCTCCTTTTTTTGTGTTTGTTACTCTCTTGTAACACATCTATTCTTTGGCACTTATGTGACCTTATTGGGTTACAAGTGGTGTAAAATTCATTGTTCAAGGCTATTGTAACTGAATACTTGAAAAGATAGTTTCAAAAATGATTCTTGGCAGAAAAATAACTTGAAACTGATATTGTATAACTACAAATACGCTTTTTTGTATGTTTCTGTACATGTGCTCACCTTATTTTCTTTTCTGATGAAATTGTACACTTACAATGCGTAGTGTCAAATTTGTGAAATTAGACAGGTTCTTTTTAAATATGCAAGACTGAAGTATTTTTATATGATACATGTGGTTGTAGAACCTGAAAGCATAGGTTTGGGAGTGAAAACTTTGTTTTGTTATTGAATTTTACACATTTTATTTCTTGTGAAGTTTGCTGTGTTTTATGTTTTTTTATGTTTTATTATACCTTCAGAGCCTGAGGACGGAGCTAATGAGGATGATATTGGCAGTGATGAAGAGAGGGAAATCCTCAAAGGAATCCGAGATGAAATTGAGAATAAGGTAAATTCTGGATTATAAATCAAAATGATCCCCGGAGTTAAAACTACATGTTTTATTTTAAACTTTGAGAATGAAAAAGGGATACTGCTCAATGAAGAATAAGTTAATTTTTTGGGTTGATAGAAAGGAGTGATATGCAGAGCTTTATTACTGTTCTCTGTGAAAGTGTTTCATGCCCTTAATTTTCAGCTGGTTAGCTGATTATTGTGAACAATTTCTTCCTTACCCATCTCTTCGAAATTTTCTGTTTTCTTCAAGGATTAAAAGTTTCCTTCTGTTTCTGAATTAGAATTTTTCAATGCTGGTGTAATAGGGTGGGATGTGAATACAATGGTAATATTTTAACAATTCCAGATTTTTATAGACATGTTTTTGTCTCATACTTAAGGTCAGAGAAGAAATGAAGGACGAACTTGATGGTTACAAGCAAAGGATGAAAGCCATTGAGTCTGGCCAGATCCCAAGTGCAGACAAAAATGAAGATGACGCTGATGATGCGAAGGAAATGGATCCAAAACTCAAAGAAGCCATCTTGAAGATGAACAAACTGGACAAGATTTTGAAAAAGAAAATAAGGAAAGAAAGAGAAGTGAAAAGAGACAGAATACTTTTGGAGAAAAGGTATGATTTTAAAATTATATCATTATCAGTCCAGTTTTTGTTGCAATATTTTAAAACTTTTCCTTTACAGTTCCTCGACTCACTGTGTGTTAATAATGATTTAGGGGAATGCTTGTTTCTTATTAAACTTAATGAATATGTGATTCTGAGAAATAGCTGGAGGTCTTGTTGTACAGGAGAAGTGTATAAATTTGATATTCTTGTCAGACTGAGATGGGCTTAACGTTCAACAACACTGCTTGCAACAAAGAAATAACACCATCAAGAAAACTTCATTAAAGATTGTGAGTTGTAAAATTGTAATTGTAAATGTTTTTCTACAGCCTGGTCAACCTGATTTAAGCTAGGTCATTTCAGTGGCGGGCTACTGTACCCTTGCCTGTCAGGGCCAACCTGGGATGAGAGGGTTACAACATTCCACAAGACAGATGTAGATACTTGATAAATGAGAAAGATTTTCCTCTCCTGGGAATCAAAATCATGTTTAAACATAAAAATATTCTCTTCTTCTCTCCCCCTCCCCCTCCCCCCCTTTCCAGACACACACACACACACACACACACACACACACATACATACGCACATGCACACACACACACATGATGCGCACAAACGCACACACACTCACACACGTACACAAAACACACACACACACACACACACACACACACACACACACACACACACACACACACACACACACACACACACACACACACACACACACACACACATACAAGCTATCACTTTCTAGATCAATCACAGACACAATGTGATAAATAGTTTGAACTTTGAAGGATATTCATACTTTACTTTACTTTTCCGATCCAGAGGATATCTGAGTTCTAGCCCTTCGTCCTAAAGAGGGACATTCATAAATCTCCCAATGTTTTAAAAAGTTTTTAATGTGTTGAATCAATTATTATGTTTTTGGTTGAGATGTAAAGATACATTAAAATTTTTTATTGTTACTTAAAAGTTGTTTTAGATCACAAATGTATTTACACCGAATTTGAATATATATTTTAACTTTTTAGCATTTTAAAGTAAATTAGTTAGCCAGCCGTGAAGTGAACTTTCGCAGAGGTGAACAACTTGTGTTTCGCGCGCTCATATGACCTTAGCAGTTGCGAGCGTCGTAAAACCGTATACTATACATACTATACAAAGATACATTTTTATCCTAATAAGTTCTCTTTATCTTTTTTTCTGCCCCAGGATGCGTGAAGAGATTTCTGAAATGCAGCATGGTTCTGCTCATTACAAAGAGATCAAAACAAACACTGAGAGATTTTTAGCTTTGGCGCCGCCCCCTAGTCATAATGAAGGTATGAGCTTTCGGCTTGCTATTCAAACATCATCGTCCTTGCAATACTTGTGATGTCAACTTTGCAAGGTTACCAAGGGGAAAGACTGAAAAATCACAGCATATCTCTTTTCTGTCAAACTTATCTGGCGTTGTCAAACCATAGGACATTTATTTTAAGTTTAAGGATTATTTGAATGTTTAAGAGAGAGTAAAAAAATAATGTTACTTATCTGATTTTAGAAGATTTGAGTTATGGACATGAATGAGAAAACTGGCTGGGTTTTTTTTGTTGTTGCTGTGATTAACTCTGGATGAAGACCTCAAAACTTGAAAAAATAGAACATATACATGGAATACAGGAAGCTAGCAGATTAGAAAAAGACTTAGCAAGGTCTTGATGAAAACGACATGAGAAATTTTAGGCCAGTTTCCAATCTAAACTTTTTATCAAAAATCCTGGAGAAAGTCGTTTTGTGTCAAGTTCAACAACATCTAAAGGCCAATGACATGGAAGAACCTTTTCAATCTGCTTATAAAAGGCACCACAGTACGGAAACCGCTCTTTTAAAGGTATCATCAGATGTTTTAAATGAAATCGATAATAAAAAAGTCTGTGTTTTGGTTCTGCTTGATTTGTCAGCGGCGTTCGATACCATCGACCACCAAATTTTACTAAAGTGATTGGAAAAGTCATTTTTACTATCAGGTACTGTTCTAATGTGGTTTAAATCATGTCTAGACAATAGATTTATGTCAGTGAAAATTGGCAATGATGTGTCAGATAGGTTACCTCTAAAATACGGAGTTCCTCAGGGTTCGGTCCTTGGTCCTGTCATCTTTACAATGTACACGCAAAGTCTGTCATCAATAATTTCTTTATATGCCCTCAATTACCATCTTTATGCAGACGATACACAGCTGTATGGATTCACTACAACTGACAATGTACACAATCTCATAGATAAAATCGCCAGATGTATCAATGATATAAGAAAATGGATGTTCAAGAACAAATTAAAATTAAATGAGGATAAGACCGAAATATTATTTCTTCGTAGCAGCGCATGCAATGAAATCGACAATATCAGAATAAACATCAATGGCCACGAAATATCAGCCCAAACTAAAATAAGAAATTTAGGTGTGGTGCTAGATCAAGATATGTCAATGAAATACCATGTATCCAATCTTTGTAAAAATCTATATCTCCAGCTGAAGAAAAAAGGGAGCATTAGAAAACATCTATCTGTTGGTGTCACCAAAACTTTAATAACATCACTTATATTGTCAAGGATTGATTATTGCAATTCCTTACTGGCTGGTGTACCTGATGAACAGTTACAACAACTACAAAGAGTACAAAATATTGCTGCCAAAATAATTACTAAAAAACTAAAGCATGATCATGTGACTCCTATTTTAAAAGCATTACACTGGCTCCCAGTGAAAGAGCGTATCATATATAAAATCTGTTTAACTTGCTACAAGTGCTTAAATGATTTATCACCGGACTATCTAAAACAGCTTTTAACACCCTATGTGCCTCCTAGAACGCTCAGATCAACTAGTGACAAAACAACCCTTGTTAAGCCTAAAATAAATTTCAAATCATATGGCCAACGCTCTTTTACATATTTTGCCCCACTTGTTTGGAATAGGCTTCCAAAAACTATCAGAGAAGCAGAAAATCTAGAAATTTTTAAGAAGAAACTAAAATCATTTCTATTTTCATCATATTTCGATTAGACAGAATGCATCCAAGCTGTAGATCGTTGTGAGTTTGTATGTGCGTATGTGCATATGTATGTATGTGTTTATGTGAGTATGTATATGTGTGTGGTGCGTGCGTGAGTGAATATGTGTTTGCATGAGTATGTAACACTATGTATCTTTAAAATTGATTTGTAAATCCATTATATGTATCATGTTAAGCACATAGAGCATTGCATAAGTGGATATGCGCTATATAAATGCAATCCATTATTATTATTATTATTATTAGCAGCAGCTTTGTATTTCTGGTGCAAATTTGATATCAATAGTGTCAATTCTGTGTAGTAGAACCAAAGAGTCTACATAACAAGAGGGTCCACTCCTCTCTTTGAGCCAATTAAAAAAGTATCCTCAAAATTCGTGGCGCCCTCTTCGCAAATGCGCACCCTTTGCGAACAGAGTTACCTTTCTTGTGTAAAAAAATCAAAGTGAAACTAACAAGTTTTTTAATAAATAAGAATTCAAATTTCGGAAGAACGCGTTTTAAAAAATAGTTACGCTGACAAAAAAAGAGGCAACTGATTTCTTCGTTTAATTTGACTTTAGAATGAGAGGCGAGAGGTCATTAAAATTTTTTTTAAACCCCAAAACTCTGCACTGAACGAACCCGAACAGCTGATGAACAGCTGTCGATCTGCGCATGCAAGGAGGTGCTATTCCTCTTCTTCTTCTGGAGAAACGAAAGAGAGCTTCAAAACAGACTGCCTCGCCATCTGAAGCAAAGAGCGGACTTCCGGCGGACACTTTTTTGGCTGAGTGGACCATCTTGTTATGTACTATCTTTGGTAGAACACAAGGGGAAAAGTGACTTTTATGGCGCAATAATGCGCCAGTGAAAATTATCCGTTCCGGTCACCTGGCGCAGTTCTGGGCCATGCGCCAGGCCTGAGAAGTCGGTTGCATTCGCTCTCCTGGCTGAGTGACCAGATGGGGTATTTTGTACTGCTGGCTGTGTGACTGCAAAGTGTTAAAAAGAATGACAGACAGTCTTTCAAACAATTGTGACTTTTATTTAATTCACCTTTCATCCTGCTATTCTTCAGGTATTAGGATTGATGAGGAGGATACGGAGGTTCCTCCTTTGTTTCAAACTCAAATTGATGACAATGATATTCTATGGAGTGAAGGCAAGTCGAGAAATCTTGCCCCTGAGGATGTGGCTGAACTGAATAATGGTAGTGGTAAGTGTTTGTATACTGTCGAGCAAAGCATGCATATATAGCAAAATCAGCAGGCCACTGAAATCTTTTTGTTATGTAAAAATGTTGCTATGTACGTGTTTTAAATACAAAGCATATAATATGATTAAGAAAACATCTCAGTGACTACCAAAATCAAAGTTCCTAAAGGCTCTATGTGGTCTACTCTTCTATATGGTTGTGAGTGCTGGACAATCATCAAAGATGGTGAAAATGAAATAGATGCAACAGAAATGTGGTTTCTCAGGAGATTGTTGAGAGAATTTTCTGGAAGGAAAAGATGTTAAATGAAGCAGTACTTGGAGAAAACCACATGGGCTTCTTGCTCATAAAAAACAATTGAGCAGACTGGCAGAGGATAATGTTGAACTATAAATGTGAGGCATTGTGGTGAAATCTAGCACTCGTCAAAATAATGAAATTGAGGAAACAGGCATTTTTTTCCACCAGTACAGCAATTTTTATTTCATTTTTGGTTTTTGGCTCAACACCTTTTATTTTTAAGTTCATATAAAAACATTTCCAAGTGAATTCGAAAAACGTTGATTAAACATGCAAAATATGTGATTTTTCAGTTTTCAAGAACTCTTAAGCTTTGGAAGTCACCAAACTTTGGTGGCCATTTTCTCGCTAATTTTACCTCTGAATCTGAAACCAGCCAACCCCATCTCCTTCAATCACAAATATCTCAATTTTTATTCAATATAAATGGGTATTTTTTTCATTGAATGCAAGGCAAATGAGTAAGCTTTTAGATGATACCAAAAGCTCCACATGCCCCAAAAATTGATGAGTCCCTGATTCAACCATGTCACGACACAAATATATCTTTACATTTTTCTTATACTCTACTTATTAACCAATCAGAAATAACTTTGTCAGTTTCTCACCCATATGTCCAGGATCCTGTGCTGGTCAGTCTAGTCGCAGTGGCAGCACAAGAGCTGGTACCAGGGCTTCACGACCAGGGGGAAAAGGGAAGAAACCCTCAAAGAACTTCATCAAAAGAAATAAAGAGGTTTGTTGTAGATGAAAGTTGATGTCATTGCCTACTTTTTGTTATTTATTTGTTACATAATCTCCTGTGTTTGTCTTGATTTTAGAATTTTGTTTTAAAAAAAAAAGAGGAGAGTCAGGAAAAATCTTGGAGATTTGAAATAAGTTGTAGGCCTACTGATTCAAGAATGACTGAAGTTTTGAATTCCTAATGGGATGTGCTTGAACTTGGATTATCAGAGGAATTATCATGGCTCTCCACATAATTGGCTGTTATCTTTAACACATTACACCCTGAGGGCCTGGACGGGAAGTCCATTGTTAGATCCTAAGAAAGGGGAAAGAACCCGCCTCCCGTGAATACAAGTGTTTAAAAAACACATTTTAAAAATACTAAACAAATTCCAAAAATCCTGAAAAAATAAAAGTTAAAATGCAAAATGAATGTAGTTTCAGAAAAATATAACTTTATGTCTGCGCAAACTGTTGGAAATGTTCAAACTTTAGTTCAATCGGGGTGTCCGACCCATCACTCTCACTCTCAACCTCGCGGTCGGGCCCTAGATCTCAATTCTAGATTTTCCTCGTCTGATTGATCTGAATCACCCTAAACTCTTGCTACGTTTTCACCAAAATCTGAGTCATTTGATTTGCCATATGCTTGTTTTTGCTCAAATCCATCGTTATTTCCTTTATCGAACTCAATTGTGTCGGTTTTCAACAAGTCGAGACACTTTCGAAGTGTCGGTAACGCGATCGCACTTCGTTCGGCTCTAATACTAAAACTACTGCCCCGAAAAATTTTGTTTTGGTATCAAACGAAAGAAGAAACTTTTTGCAATAACTATGCAAATCAAAATCTCGGCCCCAGTGTCTTGCCAAGGCGAGATTTCGTTTCTAAAGATGCTAGGTCGGCGCGGGTGGTTCCGGGCGAGTCAGGGTTGAGCGCGTAAGGGAATTCCCGGGCGGTCTCGGGCGAGTTAGGGTGTAATGTGTTAAGATGTGATGTGATGTTAAATTGGATATTCTGCCTCTTGAAAATAATCTTACTGTGTTAAAAGGAGTGCTGAACACATGCCATACCTAACCATGCTTTTTTATTTTGCTTTGTGTTTGTCGAAAGTGATCAAATATTTTCAACCAGTAGCTGCGGTGTAGTCATTAGGTGCTTCGCTGTTGCACATGGGAGACCCGAGTTTGAGTCTCGAGTGGGTGGGAATTTTAATTGAAATTCTCAATTTTTCTGTTGGGATGTTGTACCCCTCTAAGTCTAGGTTGGCCCTGACTAACAGGCTAGGTCAGATGCCCATTTCCTTAAATATGATCTAAATTGTATTCATAGGGGGCGTAACAGCACCTACATTAAAAAGAAATCTTGTCTATTTCCTTAGCTTGCTGCCGATGCTGATCAACTTGTTGCCATGACTGATGATGAAAAGAAAAGACTGCAGGATCTGCTCACAGATGTGGATGAAATGCCAGAACTGCAAGACTCGGAACAAGATGACACCTTGGTGAGGGTTTTTCTTTTCCAATATCATCATCAGAGTCATTCCTTCAATTGCCCAAATTGATTTCTGGAGGTTTCCAGATATAAAGCGGTTATTTGAATAAAGATGTCAAGGAGTATCTTACAGTATAGTTTTGTTCTGTTTTGTTACTTCCATCCTAATTCTTAAATTAAAAATGACGAGTGCTCAAGCTGTGGTTCTGATTTGGGTGCTCTTTTTCTTTCATTTTTCACAAAACTGAACAAAATTGGTGCTTGTGCAGTAATACAGTCAGATGGCATGAGCTGCCCCCCCCCCCCTCAATCCTCCGAGGTGGAATTCTACTGTTCTAGTGAATTTTCTCTTTTTTTTGCTAATTCATGATGTAGAAACATTGTCAGTTCTCCTTTTGAAAATATCGTATCATTTAGAAGGTTGTTTCAGTAACTAAACTGATCCCATAACACTAGATTGCGGACAGTCATTTTTCAGCGACTTGTGGCCCTTTTCACTTGTCACTGAAGAAAGTACAGACTGAGACAATAGAGGGAAGAGAAAACATATTAGTCGTCTGACAAATGTGAGGCGTTCTGACAAAGTGAGTTACTTCTCGCAATCCACAGATGGAGGTATTGGCCAAAAATCAACACTAGGGTCGAATTTGCAGAATTTCTATTGTCATATTTTTAAACTAATACATGCCTTTTATTATTTCATACTAATAAATTGTAAAAAATTCTCCTAGGCATTATGTACCTATTTCCATCAGGCTTGAAGTCTTGCAAGCAGTGAGTAGATGCCACTCACAGGTTCTCCATCTTTCATACAGATTTCATAATATCTGCCATCTTTCCTATCCTTTACATGCAATAACTATTATTGCATAAGTTTCTTCCTCTGTGACTTGAATGACAAGACAAATATGTGACAGTCTATTTTTATGTTATATCTGTCCATCCATCCATCCATCAACCCACCCACCCACCCACCCTTCCGTCCGTCCATCCATCCATCCGTCCATCCATCCATCCATCCATCCATCCATCCATCCATCCATCCATCCATCCATTTTCTATGTATTTTTCATTTCAAGTTGGAAGCCAATGCTTTTCAAGTGTCCATCCACCCTGGAGAAGGGTTCCGACCAGACAACATTGAGCAGAAAAGTTTGAGCAACATCAATAACAGATTAAGGTCGATCATGCCGGATGAAAGCTTCCACTCCATCATGGGTTCCAGCGACCACCCAAAACCCATGTCTCAAGTATGTGAAACACGAGGGAGGGTAAATTGAGTCGTTAAAACTGTTTTTAAAAAAAGAGTTTTTGTACTGCATTTTGTTTTTCTTCAATAGCTCTTTTATGCTTTTAACTTTAATATCTTAGAGGTTTGTTCTTTGGTCAGTTTGTCAGTTACAGTATTCACTCTTATTTCCTTCAAAGTCATGTATTTTTTTTGTGTGCTAATTTGTGCGGTGAAAAGTTAATACTTAAAAAAAAAAGTTTATTTCTTTATTTGTATATTTTGCGTTACTTATTGCTTTGCTTTTGTAATCGTGAAGATGAATGTTGAACAGTTAGTGTCAAGAGAGATATTGGATATGGTGGGTTTTCTTTTGTGGTTACTTTGTCTCACATTGCAACATTTTTTTATGCCACCCAACATACTCTCTCTCTTGTCATGTTAGTTACTTATTGATTTGTGATGGTCGAACGGCAAATGTTTTCACTTCTTATGTTAATAAAAGTAAGTAGGTTCACTTTGTAAATTGAAGTTATTTTTTACTTAAAATTTTTTGTGCATGATTGATGCTTTATTGACTTTATATAAGGATAGCATAAAGTTTGACCAAGTAAGATGAATGTCTGTCGCATTGTGTAAGACTGTGCTGATCGATGATAGTTGCAATGTTTGTGAAGTTTTCTATCAGCTTCAAATTCTGACATAACGCTACTTAGAAGCAATAAAGCAATATAAATGCAAACTATAAAACTTTCAAATTCCATAATTTGGAGTGGTATGATGATTCTTTGATTGTTGTCATATTTGTTTATTTATCTTTACATTTTCATGTATCGATATTTATATTGTTGCATTACATTGCAAACATCCCAGAAGTTGTTTTTAGAGGTGATGGCTAATTATAATGTTATATATATATAAATATGATATGGAGAAAACATTTTATTTTCAGTATTTCTTAAAGTTGAGAGTATTTTGAACTGCTGTGATCGATCATAAATTGTGAAACTGAGAATACTTTAATGACGTCTTCAGTTTCTTTTTTTTAAGAGGTATCTGTTGTTGATCCACACATGTATCCATATATTTCATTTTCAAGACACCTTCTTTAATTTTTTGTTAAGGTCACCATATGCTCACAATCACATTTTCTTTAAAAAAGATTTTATTGTACTTATGGCCATGTGCACATCACAACTATTTTTAAAATCAAAAATTCATTTTATGCACCTTTCACGACGACATACACTGCATTTTTTTCTTATTTCTGTCACCAATCGTTGTTGTTGCATGTTATCGCCAATGCTTCACAGCCTCCTTTGTTCAGTCGCGTTGGGCTGCACATTGGAGGGGAGATCCCGGAGCGGTTCGGGGAGCGCGTTCTCTATGACACCAAGGAGGAGAGGGAACTCAAAGCCAGGCTTGAGTCCATTGAGGACCAGCTGGATAGATTTAAGGCTCAGAATGACTCCGAGGTAATGCTTTAACTATTGATTTATCCTAATCTGTTCTAGTTATAGTTAAAGTTTTACGGCACTTGCAAAACAATAAGGTCATAGAAGTGCTGAAGATTAGAAGTGTTACAAGAGAGTAACAAACGTAAAAAAGAGGATAGATAAGGACAATAGATGTTTGATTGGAAAAAAGGAGCAAACCACACCAGAGCACCCACCAACCACCCGCATCCTAATCTGCCAAACTTTTTCTTACGGCCCCCACCGATGGTATAAGATGGTCACATACATGTACAAACAGCCCATTCCTACTTCCTCCACTGAGTAGTTTTAGCATTATGATGACACTGTGTAAGACATTCACCTGTCAAAGACAACTACATTTCTCCTCAACAGTGGGTGGCTGGCTGTCTTAGACAATTTCAACTGTATTTCATACCCCCAACTGACACAGTTTACTTCATTTTAGAAGCTGGCTGCTTTGACCCTGCCTGTCAGGGTCGACCTGAGTTGTGTAGGAGACTATATCTCAGTAGAAAGAGGGCGATGCTCTATGAAATATCTTCCACTCTAAGGAAGGGAAATGACAATACATTTCTCTTGTGCAAAGAGTCTAACTTATGTCTTAGAGGCAGGTTCTCTGACTTTATCTCACCTTCCTTTTTTTGTGCCTCTGTAACAAAGTGCTCTTGATTTTAAAGAAACGGAGAACATTAGTATGTGATAGGAAAAGTATAGTTTATATTTGAGTGAAAATTAGCATTCCACGTAATGAGCATAAAAACAATCTGGGCCACAATGAGAGATAACTGGTGATCTTCAAAGTGATGTATTTATGTATTTTGACTGTTTCATTTGTGTTGAAAGCAATATATTTGTAAAAAAGTGGCCATTTATTTCATTGCATTTTAATGTTACAATGAGAATGAAAAAAAGAATAGTAAAAAGAGCTGGGAATATTGTTTTTTAAATGTGTCGATGAGAATGAAGTGTTCATGAGAATGTGTTTATCTTTCATCTAAGCTTTATAATTATGTAAAGAATTTTACCAGAAACCTGATACTTTGTAGATACCCATTCTCCCCCCCCCCCACACACACACACTTTAAGAGGGTGGGTACAATTTCTTGACGGTACTTGTACTACCGTAGGCCTATTTGTTTTTACTATTTTTATTGCATCGTCACTATAAAGAATTAAGTCACAAAATGTTCCTTTTTTTTCGTTACTGTGCTGCGAAGTCTGGCTGCAATTGCCTTCTCAAAAAGCCCAGTGCCCTTTTTTTCTGTTCCTGATTCTATGGTCTGCCACATCTATTCTCACTCTTTACGCACACTACTGGCTTTCCTGATCTTTTACTGTCTCTGAAGGCTTTTATTTCACTTTCTGCTATTCTTTTATCTTTTTTCTTCACCTTCTGGATTCCTGTTTTGTGAAAAACTGTCAATACTGTTATCATCATCATCCTCATTATCATCATCATTCTAGACTTCAAAAAGGCAAAAAACGGTGGAGACTTGTAAGATTTTCACAAATTTTATACGTTCAATGTTTTGTCGTCTTATGGCTTCGTCAGGAACATTAATAATCATCATAATCATCATCATCATCCTTTCTCATCCCCTGCCAGAGTACAGTCCACCAATAAGAGCTCTCCGTGTACTTCTGTCCTGGGCTATTGCCTCCACATCTGTCCAGCTGTATCGTATCTCCTTTAGACCTGAATCTGAGTCCCTCCTCTGCCAAGTACTTTTGCCTTCCTTTCTGTTTCTTTCCTCGTAGATTCCATCTCAAGACCTGGTGGGTGACAGCTGCCTTAACGCTATCCATATGTCGTGTTTTACTATTGTATCCATACAACGTAGGGAACTCTGTGCCCCCACTTTCCAAAGAGGAAATCTACTCGTTAATTCGATCTGTACGCTTTGCATAGCAGTCTGTCAAAATGATTTTTTGAGAAATACTGAAAGTTTCAAAGAGATCTTTGCACTAGAAGTATAAAAAAATGTGAAGAATACAATCCCTGGGGTACAAAATGGCTCCAGGCGTATGGATAGGGTTAAATCTCAATAGGGCACTTTGTAACTCCTCATAATAAATGTGCTTTATCCTACTCTAGGTCGTACTCCCTTCTCCGTACGCCATAGACTCTGAGAGGAAAGTAATACATTATAATTAAACAGTGGCATTTATGACTATACTGGCTGTCTACTCCTCTGTCCTTTTTTTCTATTTTCCATAGTCTATCTTTTTTTAAATACCCTCATCTCATGGTTATCCTGCTTTATGCACTGGCTGGATGGAAAGGCTTACAACCAATTTCATAGTGTGAAATGTCACAGTGGCTGTGCCTATCATGTAAAGCTGTCCATATTTTCTATTTTTTCAAACCCTTTTTATTATTCTATATTGTTTCTATCTTGTTAAGCTCTCCTTTTTTTCTACTGTTTTCATAATTTAAAATTTTGTTTCCTTTATTCTTACCCCTCCCTCTATCTTTCTGTTTCTCTGCTAAACAGCAGAGGTGGATGGTATCACCTCTCAGATGAACAGCTGGACAACCTAAATTCTACATTTTACCTCCTTTGTTCATACCCTTCCCTCTATCTTGTTTCCCTGCCATTTGTCTCAGGTGGACGGTACCACTCACCTCACAGATGAGCAGCTGGACAACCTGCTGGACCAGTGTGCCAGGGATTTTTCCCGCATGTCCTACAGCAATATGGACACACCTGAGCTGTCGTCAAGGTGAGAAACCTTTGTCTTTTGGAGACTGTCATGTTTCATCTGAGCTACGGGTACATTTTTCTTTCAATACATCTTTGTTCTGTTTTGGGGATGAGAATGCTGAATGGATTTCATAGGCCTACTATGAAAGAAAAGGAGTCAAAAGAAAATTCTACTTCTTTTTATTCTCGTAATTCAATTTGGGTTATTATGGCATGTAATTATGTGATGCATACACAAAACTACTGGACAAAGAGGAAAAATATTTTGTAAGGATGGGGAGAGATTAGTATTGGTATCTTCTGGTAACGTTGAAACTAGCTGTAGAAGACTCGTGTTCTTAATTTTCCAGATCCCAGATTTCATCTCGACAGTCGCTCATGGAAAACCCGCCCAAATTGTCAGAGGAGCAGTTACAACAGCTGCTCTCCGAGGCTCATTTTCCTCTTAGCTCCGTCCTTCTCTCTCTCCGAGATGATGACCAGAAGATAGAAGAAGGTAGATCCAGTAGTATTTTATCCTTAGCTATTGATTGTAAGCAAAACTTTTCCTATGAGGATCAATAAAATGAAATTTTTTTTTTAATGATTTATTTTTTATTTTGGCTGACCACTATCTTTTCTTTCTTTGCTTACTTTTCGATACTTTTGATAAAAAACTCTTACATATAAATAATAACAGAGGTAGTGAGCAGGCCGACCCAGTATATAATAAATATCGGATTTCAAATGTGATGCAATCGAACAGGAGAAGAAGAAGACTCTCAAAAAGTGAACAATAGACTGAGTAGGCTACAATTTCCACTTTTCCAATTTTCATGAACAATGTGGCTGTAAACCTTTCCTAGAGTAAATGGAGGTGGCTCGAACCGGCTGCTTTATTGTGAATGGATTCTTTGTGTTTTCACAATGGACTGCCATCCTGAACAAAATGGTTTCTTTTTCAATTTTCAATTTTAAAAAAAAGTTTTTGATCTAAATATACTTCAACTTCAATATAAGCGAAATTTCCATACTTTATTTCTGTTTCGTTTGACCAGTGTTGGAGAATTTTAATTTTGAAAGAAATTTCTTTTGCAAAAGCGCAATTTATGTGGGGTAATGGGAAGGTTTTTCTTCAATATTGTGATGGCCTTATTCTCATGGATAGGATGGATTTGAGACATGACTATTGAACATTTAGTTTGATAATGGAAAAAGGTGAAACTATACTGTAATATGTGTAACATTATTATAATGATAATCATTATTATAATGATAGTAACGATAAAGATTGTTATTTTGTATCAAAAGAAAAAGAAAAATAGGTGAAGATGACTGTGGTGGTGATTATGGTGATGATGATGATTGGTTGAAACGATTTAGGTGGAGAAATATTTTAAATTTTTTCTGAAAGGTTTCCATCCAGCTCAGTGTCCTGACAAGAGTCAATCTTCTTTCAGAATTACCTTTCCAGGTTTTTTAAAGTTGAAAACTTTTGGTATTGTATGTATGTTCCTGAATCAGACAATAATGTTGGTTTTATTTGTTCATCTTTTTCACTTTGCAGAAGAAGGAAATGCAGAAACAATCAAAGCAGAAACCTGGAAGGCGATCAGTGAAGAGGATGTGCAGGGCAAGGAACATGCATTGCAAAGTATCTCTCAAAGGGAAAAGAGTGAAGAGAATTTGTCTCAGAATGCCTCTGAAAACTCTGGTGGGTTGAACAGCCAGAGAGGAGAGAGCGTGCAAGACAAGTCTGGCAATAACAGCCTGGTGTTTCAGAGTTTTGATAGTGACAAATCACTACCAAATGAAGCTGGAGAGGTGGGGCCTTCCGATTCTTCTGTTGCCGAGTCGTTAACTGGTGCTACGTCCATGCAAGACTCTGCTCGGGAGACCCCCGTGCTACCGAGAATCAACCCCCAGACCCCCTCCCGGTCTAGCTTCAGCGCTGAAAGTACCTCTGGGATGTCAGCAACGCCTACTTTGATGAACCCCAGCTCACATAGTGTTGATTCCAGCTTAGGAGAGCCTGTACGCTTGCCTGATATTCAATCTAGTTCTTTCCTCATTCAAGCTGCCCAGGGTATGAACAATGAGAACAAGAGAAGTACGGACAGTTTGCCGTCCCGAAGACCTCTTCAGATGGTTCATAATGATTTGTCGGAGAGTAGAAATTCCATGGGCAGTTCTGTGGATGAACTAGAGAGGTCTCTGAGCACAAACAGCAGATCTCCGATTGGTGCCAACCCGCATTTGATTCCAAGGCCACCGTCAAAGGATGGACCACCAGGAAGAACGTCTTCAAGGCCTTAATCATCTTAATGTTCAAGTTCAAGTCAAGCCACAGAATGTTCACATCTTAGTTAAAGTAACTTTTAAAGTTTTTATCTCATACAATTTGAAACAATAGATGGTTTATTTTAAGTTCAGTTTTCAAGTTAAGCCACAATATGTTCACATAAAAAAAATAATCAAAGTAACATTTTATACATTTTGGGTCTCAACAAAGTGGAATCAGGTGCTCGTCAATTTTTGGGTAATGGGGAATTATTGGTATAATCTCAAAGCTTGTTCATTTGTCTTACTTTTGATGAACAAAATATCCATCTATCTTGAGTAGAAATCAAGATAATGTCGATTTCTTTGATTTCATTATTTGACGAGAACCTGGTTTCACCATGATGCCACCCATATGTTATATCTTATATGGTTTGAAACAATGGATGGTTCAGTAGAGTTCAGTGAGTATGGAGTACATGCACGTGACAATGATGAAAATTGGGGTTTCCCAAATATGTTTCAACAGTATTCTCAGTCTCTTTTCTAAACTAGGCTTGTGGCTGGAGGGCACCAGATACATTCATTTATTAGGACAGCTGGAACAACGAGATCTGGGAACAAGCAAGACTATTTTTGGTGCCTTATTTTTCTTCTCTTTATTCACTCTTATAAATTGTTGTGGAATAACAAAACTCACTTGAAGAATTTTTTTTTTGATATTGAGAGAATTGTCACTCATTGGTGCTGGAAAAATAGATAACAAACTTGTCGTGGCTGAAATATCGAACCACACTACACTGGTTGTATTGTTTTTCAGCTGGTGAAAGTGACTCAGGTTTGTTATATTATTCCACCCCCTCCCTTCTGTTCTTTTCTAAACCACAAACTTCCCCTTTTCTTACACATATATATGTGATCCCCTGACCCACACTCTTCTTACCTGCGCTTCTTTGCATTTCACAGTCTGTCTTTGTTGTGTTGTGCAAGCTTCTACATTCCCAGTGTCTGTGTTGGCTGCAAAGGCCTCATAGACTGCGAAGGTGGGTGGGATACGTAGTGGGCTAACAAGATACACCTTCACATATTTATAGAACCAGTTGTTAATTGCAGATTTGACAGTCCATTTTTCAGCTGCTGACCAGTGAATAAGATGTTTTTAAAACATTTATTTCGTCCAGATTTTGAAATGGTGACTACTTGTGAACGATAGTTCGTAACACTTAAGACACAAGTGACCACTGTTATTCAGTGGAGCAAGACAACAATAAGACAAACTCTGAAATAATATGTCAAGATTTTTATTTGCAATTGAGCGTTTTGTTATACAAGACGGTTCAGTCATTCATGTTTTCGTTAAATGCACGAATTTCGCTATGTACGTGTTTTAAATACAAAGAACTAACATGCATAAAAGAAAAAAATCGGAATGTGGAAATCTGTTTGCTATATTGCCACCTCAATGCTTGCTTGTCGAATCTCCATTATTGATAACAGTGAAGACAGCTCATAACAAAAAATGAGCTTAAGAAGAAGTCACATTTTCACTGTTAAAAAAATTGAGATAGGACAAGAAAGAACTGAGGTCGCGATATGTAATGCTAGAGTGAATAATGAAGTAGAATTAAAAATTAAAGGTCCAATAAGCAGCAGAGGTGTCTGTGGTGTAGTGGTTACCCACTTTGCAGTTGCATGCAGGAGATCCGAGTTTTATTCCCAAGTGGGGAGGTTTTCATTGAGTATCTTGATCTTCCTGCTGGGATGTTGTACATGTATCCCACTCAGCCTGGGTTGGCCCTGACAGGCAGGATTAAAGCCCCATCTCCTAGATGATCTAAATTATGTCAATGGAGGAGTAAAAACAGCTACATACACTGGAACATACTGATACACACACACCGTATGTAACATACATTCATTTTTGCAGTCAGCTACAGAGGCAAAGACCTTGCTCTTTAAAAGATTTAGAAGATATTTTCTTTTTCTTCCTATTCATTTTTGACTTTGTTCTTCTCTAACTCTTAATCTTTAACTGAAACAAAAACAAGCATTTATTAACCCTATCCGTACGTCGCGTTTTACTATCGTATCCATCCATACGACATGGGGAACTCTGTGCCACCACTTTCCAAATAGGAAATGTACTCGTCAATCCGATCCGTACTCTTTGCTAGCAGTCAGTCAAAATGATTTTTTGAGAAATACTGAAAGTTTCAAAGAGATCTTCGTACTAGATGTATTCTAAAACGCGAAGAATACAGCCCCAGGGGTACAAAATGACCCCATGGCGTACGGATAGGGTTAACATGGTACATGTACTGTTGTTGCGAAATGTGTCCATCATTGCTGTGAACTACTCAACTCTACTAGACAGCTGGACACTTTGTGAAAATCTCTAATTGTGTACAAATTCGATCCATTCAACTCTGGTTTTGAAGCCTTTTCTTCTTGAGATGACAAACAAGGATGCTGGTTTGTCATATTTTCTGTTGCCACAAACAAGGATGCTGGTTTGTCATACTTTCTGTTGCCACAAACAAGGATGCTGGTTTGTCATATTTTTTCAGTTGCCATTTGATAAATACTGTCGAAATTGTCCAAGACGGCCACCTTTTGTGGAAGAGAAAAGTTGTTGTCTTAGACAGGTGGATATCCTGGACAGTCATTATTCACGAAATACTGTGCAGCCTCTCTATAACAACATCGACGGGACCAGAAAAAAATGTCGTTATAGAGAGGCAACCAAAAATATTACCAATGATATATATAAGGAAAAAATCGTGAGCTGGGCACCATGTCGCTGTACACAGGATGTCGTTACATAGAAGGTCGTTATAAAGAGGCTGCACTGTATAGAAAGAAGTGTAAGGAGGGTGGGTGGGATGGGAAGTGGTCTTTTGTACAGGTGATTGTCTTTGACAAGTGAATATTAGTGCAGGTTCGACAGTATCATAAGAATTATTATCTGTGATAAAATTTTGAATAAATGAGAGTTATGCCTCTTCTACATATGTTCAGTTCTTTTATCTGTTGTGAATGATTGATGAAAAAATATCTTCTGTCAGTCATTGTCTGGTTAGTATTCATGACCAGTGATTTAAATTTTCTGAATTTTTGTGTTTATTATGGGCTCTGTGACTGCTGAAAAGCAGTTGTTTCAAACTAGATAAATGCAGGAAAGATTGAAGGAGAGTGGGTTAGAATTTTTGTCGTCCTTCAGTTTCAGTATGGCTGAAAGCTAAGCAAAATACATGTAATCAATTATGTATGTGTAAGAATGACTAGAGAGAATTCTATAAAAGTGTAAAGGCAATGAAGGTTAGCGGCGGTCATCATCGATGGAAATGACAGATTCTCTGTACAGTGAAGGAACAATCTAGAAAAGACGGTGGGATTACTTTTAGGACTTATTAGACCCATCAGGAGTACACATTACAAAGCCAGAGTTCACTCACAGCTACCCTCTTGCCTGTGTAGTGTAAGTAAGTGTCCCCATTTTTCTTCTTCCTCATCTTCCTTCTCTTTCTTCATCCACTCTTTCTCCTCCTCTTATTTTTCTCTTTCCTTTTCCGTTCTGTTAATACCTTCTTCGACTTTGTCTGGTGGGGCCAACTCGGGCTGAGAGGGATACATCCTAGAGTTTAAGACACTTGTAATGCATTACGTTATATCAGTGCTGAAGATTCAAGGTGCTACAAGAGAGTAAAACACAAAGAAAAAAAGGAGGAGAGATTTATACCATGACAGACGTTGGATAGGAAAGAAAGAGCAAACCACACCAAAGCACCCATCAACCACCCATATTCAGGAACGCCCAACTGAGAATTGGGAACAGGGTCACATTAGTGTGTCCAGCTTTAAAATATAAAACTCTATAGGTGTAATACGCCCCCATCAACACAAATTAGATCCCCATTTATAATATTAGGTGGGTTTCCAAGCCTCCTGTCAAGGCTAACCATGGCCAAGAGGGATACAACATCCAAGCAGAAAGACTGACATACTTGATTAAATTCTCCCCACTCCGGAATCAAACTTATGTCTCCTGCGTGCCACAGCCTCATCACTACACCACAAACGCCAGTGCCCCACTTTAGAAATAGCAAATAGGTGGGACAAAACGAAAATAATAAAACACGAGACTGCATTGTAAGTTGAGAATATTTATCAAAAACACATTTATGTATTCAAAACAAAACAAAAGATTTATGTGTCAAACAAGACAAAATAAATTTTCAAGCAGTCAATATATCACTGTAGTTTTACATGTACACAGGCACCAGGTTCTGCATTTCCACAGTTATAGTATGCATTTTTTACACCCAAACACACACAACATGTCTCGGACTTTTCAATAAACGACTGGACTAGATGGAGCCTATCACTCAGGTGGCAATCAGTCAACAAAAGAAATCAAACGAATCAAGAGAAAGACAGTTTGATTTCTTATAAAGAAAAGCAGATCCACACAATATCAGTCATATAGCGCAGGGAAGAAGCAAGACAGATAGACAGAACCAGCAGAGGGAAAGAAAAGAAGTGGGACCTACCCATAGTACTAGTGGAGCCCTCAGAAAAAGCCAGAGGTCATTTTTGACACAACACATTTGACTGGACAAGAAACTTTACTACTTTGCAAGTGAGAGAGCCTCTCACTCAAGTCATCCTTACCAAACAAAGATTTTTCACAAGACTGGGCCATGCGCGATTCTGTTGAGCTGTTAAAGTTCTGTCTTTATTTATAATGTTGAACATCCATTCGTTGCATACAGATCTGCCATTTAAAGTGGAAGAAGACATGAGCTGGCCAGTTAACATTACAGATAATTAGTTAACATTACAGATAATTAAAATAGAGGCTTCAGACCATTAGAATACATCAGCCTTGTCCAATAGTCTAGGCTAGGTAGGTACAGGTATAGCCCACACACCAAATCACATGGGGACAGGTATGTCTCTATTTCTTCGTTTCCATTGTAACACTTTTGTTTTGTTTTTGTAAGAGTAAGAGTTTTATGGTACTCCTAGGAGTATGTGAATACGAGCATGCCGGACTCGAGTTGGTTGTTTTCATGTTAGTTCATGTGGAAAATCTGGTTCTGTGAATTAGACATAGCTTGTAAAATAAGTAAGTGTATGATTTTAACGTCACTATCAACAATATTAGGATTTTTAAGAGGCGGGACCTCCGAGTTTAACGTCCATCTCCGATAGGACTGAGCCAACTGGGTTGAGAGCCCTGAAATCTCCACAAATTGACCCCGTTCAAGAATGTCCAGTCTGGGATTAGAACAAAGGCTAT